CTTTCTTTAATCCTCACAGGGCATACCTTAAGTTTTAAAACTAGCATCACATTAGAAAAAACATATTGAGGGATTGGTGAGCTAGCTCAACAGGTTAATAACACTGTCCACTCTTGCAGAGGACCGGAGTTCGATTCTCAGCACCCACTTAGTGGCTCACAATCATATATAACTCCAGTTCCAAGGACCCAAGTGCCCTCTTCTGACCTCTGAGGGTACCAGACACGTATGCTGTCAATATACTTATAAAATAAAGTAAACCTTATACATTTTTTAAAAAGTGGGGAGGAAAATAAACCTTATACATTTTTTTAAAAGGTGCATCGTTTTAAAAAGATGCACACCTTTAATCCCAGCACTCAGAGGCAGAGGTGGATCTCTGAGTTCAAAGCCAGCCTTGTCTACAGAGTGAGTTCCAGGACAGCCAGGGCTACACTGAGAAATCTTGTCTTAAAAACCAAAATGAAGAAAAAGCATATTGAGGGACAGAAGCGATGGCTCAGTGGTTAAGAGTATAATCTTATTCTTTATTTTTGACAGGGTTTTACAGCTCAGGCTAGTCTTGAACTCTTTGATCCTCCTGCTTCTACTTCCACAGGGCTGGGATTACAGCCCTGTACCACCACACCCAAATCTTAGGTTAAATGCTGAAAAGGGCTCTTCGGGGAGGAAAGGTTTACAGCCTAAAACAAAAATTACTCCTATGCATGCAAAGTAAATATTAAAAAGAAAGCAATAATAAAAGTTCTTATATTAACCAGTCATTTGTTTAACAGGGCTTATGAGCACCTACTGTGCAAGCAGGCTGATCTGTGAGCTGCACTGCTCTACAGCATTGCCACATGCCCCTCCCATAGTTGCTGATGTTCTTAAACCCGAAATTTATTATTGAGATTTTAAGCCTCAGCACTATCCCTGTCTCTCAGTGATTCCAGTAGCTCATAAATAATGCTGATCTCTTTTACATATAAGGCAAATAACACAGCCAGCAAAGTAAAGAAAAAAAGAAGTGCTCAAGCCCTCATCTGACGGCTCCCCACTCTCTGTAAAAGGCCAGCCCAGAGACAGCAAAAGAGCAAAAGCTCACTGAGCAGGAGTCTCTGATGAAGGACTAAAGACACTGACTGTCTCGTGGCTGGTAAATTCTCCTACAGAAGACTTGATGCATCTTCTATTGCAGAACCCATCACCTTCCTCTATTTACACCTTCCTCTATACACAGAAAATCAACACGCCTAAGCAAGCTAAGGTTGCTCAGTAGAGAAGAGAAGAGCGAAACACAGCTTCAGCCTTCCCCAAGCCAGGGTCTCTCACATCATTCCTCCTGTCCACTGAGGACTCAGCACAACAACCCTGTCTGCACAGTCAAAAGCAACAGCCGAGGCCAAGGAAAGGCCATGACTCTTCTCAGCACTGACCAAGAGGGTAGAATCCTTGTGATTCCTAATGCTGACCTCCTGCCACATTTTGGCAGCTCTGACATCCTGTCTCACTCAGCCACGTTTAGGATTTGGCCTTGTTCGACTACATCAGCTGCTGTTGAGGGAATCTGATTCAGAATTCTGTGATCAGTGGGCATGTGAGCAGGTCTATGACTGACAGAATTAAAGGAACCTCAGATGGGATTTTTAAAGAGCTTGTTCACTTTACTTTATCATCAGCTGAGGCCATGAAAGCAGGGCCAACACGGCCACTCTCAAGCCCCTTAGTTTGCTAATGAGTGGTCTATTTTTTGGTGAGCTGGCACACTGACTCTTTCCCAGGGCCATATACATGGCTATTTCTACCTAGTTTCCTAAACTTCCTCCCTGTGACATCTAAGCTTTCTAGGGAGGAGCATGGGGGCCACCAGACATGCCTGTGGCAAAAGAAAGCAGGGCAAAATGCTTCCTGAAACCATCTCACCTGACGTGAACCACTGCTAAGCTACATATGGCTTGCAGCCAGATCCACTACACAGCCAGATCCATAAGATCAAGGTCTTAGCTGGCAAGTACCAAGGCACTAAAGGTCATGCATGCTGTGTGGGCCTTTGGTTTGAACAAAACAAAGCAACACAGCAACCTACACATGTGGGTGTGTGCACAGCGCCTCTGGCGGGGGGGAGGAGAAAGAAGCTGCGCACACAGCCAGGGCACACCATAGACAGCAGGTCTGCAGCTGCTGGAATCCAGCAGGAGCCTGGATACCCTACAGCAACATCGAAACTGCAAGGGTGGTTTTACAGAGCCCCTGGCGATGCTGCCAATGCCTGTCAGGGCAGTTGTCTGGCTGGACTGGGACAGGGAGAGAGTGTGCCTCGAAAGCCCTTTCTCACCCATGCTCTGCTTCCTCTTCTTCTTTACAAGAGTCTGAGCTGGCTTCTCTAATGTTCATTCTCCATCTTTCTTTGGCATGTGAAACATAGGTATGTTTTACTTCCTGTCCTAACAGCTCAGGACCACCCTCTAGCACTGGACCACAGAAGGCCATGACTGCTGTCCGTAAGCACCTGCCATTTCCAGGGCTTTCCAGGACACAGACAGTGAACGCACGAAAAGTTGCTCTCACCGTAAAGCTGGTGGTCAAAAGCTCATTTCTATAGCTACGCGTATTCAGAGAAGGAGACCCCTGTACCCTTGGTCACCAAGAAGGGCCACTAAAGCATTAAGAGTCCACTCCTGATGAGACCTGATAACTAGGGTCAGATGGAAGAGGAGGAGGACCTATATCGGTGGACTTGGGGAGGGGCATAGGGCGAAGAGGAAGGGAGGACGGGACTGGAAAGAGATGACAGAGGGGGCCACAGCCAGGATACAAAGTGAATAAACTGTAATAAGTAATAAATTAATTATTTTTTTTTAAAAAGAAAATAAAGTAAGCAAAGGTTTTAAAAAAACAAACAAACAAAAAAAGAGAGCCCATCACCTGTGGGACCAGGCAAACACTCTGGAAAGTCTACTGTGAGGATACTTTTGCTTACTAGGGTCTGTCTTATTTGGCTTTGTTCGGTGGAGATTGTGACTGCTTCCTAAGCCTCCTTGCCTCCTTGCTGCCCTGCCTCCTCTCTCATAGTTGCCACTCCAAGAGGTGTTTCCATTCGTATTCCTCCAGTGTCTCTGCCTACTGTACTAGAAATTGGAGTTTGGCTGCCCCTCAGTTTACACTCTTGGATGTCAAGGCTGAGAGACCAGGATTAAATGAACCTAACTTTTCTACAGACTTGGGATAGCTCCATCCCTCTGTGATGTTTTTACCCTTTAGGAGAGGGAGTTCCCAATTCTCAGACGATCACTGTACAACTGGGCCCAAAACTACTCCTCTGGTGACCCTTTGACTACATTCCCCCACAAACCTGCCCCAAACACTTGAGCCTGCTGGGCTGCCCTCAAATACTCCATGTCCTCTAGAGTCTTTCCCTCCTGCTGTGCTGGAGCAGAAAGTGCCCCCTCTCCTTACCCTTCACGATACCCACTCCCCACGCTACCCCCACTCCTGCCACTCAAGTCAGTCTGCCTTTGTGCTTCCACAGGATCTCTACAGGCTTTGAGCCAAGCGTCTCATTACTATCTCTTACAGACAACCGTACTCAGGGCCCATTTTCCACAAGTATCTTGAATGTGTTGTGTGTACCATTTCACAGCATTCTCTCCATCATCCCATGGTTCCCAAACACACAGTAGGTCCTTGACAAGGATTTGCTGATTTAAAAAAAAAAAAAAGAGCTGCTAAGACATTCTACCAAAACCTATATAGATCATGAGAATTAAGAGCGAGGAAGAGGCTGGAGAAGACAAAGAACAGATCACCTCCCTCTTCTGCCTAACTGGTGGCAGTACACCCATCCCTCTAAGCTTCAGCAAGAGAGACTCAGCAGACGCAGTCTGGAAAGTTTACAGAAATACAAGTAATTTCAAGGCTCTCTCAGCTCTTAGTCAGGTATTGACCTTGGGATGTGGTCACAGGGATTATATATTTTATTTTGCCATCCACTCCCTCTACCACTCCAATACCTTTAGCTATATGAGCAATAAAGAGCCTTTCATACTGGCTCTGAATATTATCTTTGAGCTCCTCTGGGAACAGGTCAGCCTTCTCTCAACCCTCCTACATTTCCAATGAGTAATTCTACCATCCAGTCCTCAGCTCTTAAAAAAGTACTTTTCTTCTCAATGTATCCAGTTTCCCTCACTGCACCCTCTCCTTAACCTCCATGATGGATACCAAAGGCAGACACTGTGCCTACTCAGCAGCCTGACAAGAAGCCATAGTGTCTATCTCAGAGAACTAGCCGAGTTAGGAATGGTTTCAACTGTTGTAACATCCCATCAAACAAACTGCCCCTTTGGGCTATTTAGCCAAACTCTGTGATGCTGTGAGTTTGGAAGAGGCACTTCAGAGGCAATCAGAACCAAACTATCTTTACACAGTAGCCAGGCCTGTGATGCCAGGCTTGGCTACAGACAGTCTCAAACAGGGTCCTTTGACAGCCATCCATCCCCCACGGTCCTTGGGAGCACGCACCATGGTCAGTGTAGTGAACCCATGTCTCCAGGGTTATTCTCCCAAGACCCAGCAGCTCCCCCACCCCACTGCAGTGACTCTATATCCCCCTATGACCTTTAATGCTGGGGAACAGATAAAAAATAGATTTTTTTTCTTTTTACTTTTCTTTTTGGCTACTTCACATCTGAAGAAAAAGTAC